ATCGACCCTCCCCAGTCGCCTTCTCTTGTTATATTCGAGAATATGTCATGTGACTCACCCAGCATTGAATGGGAGCCCCGATCCACCAACGTGCAACAAAATGCACAAAACTGTTGGGAGAAGTCACTATTACAAGTTCAATTTTTGGCCGTAAAGGAGAACTGGCCTCTGGAGAGAATGTTGGCAACTCCCAATCTCGGCACCTGTTCGCCAGTGCCTGAGAAGCCCAAGACCTTGAAGATATGGTCGCCCAAATATAGTCCTCGAACTCTTCCGTGCCAGTACCGAGAATCTCTCATTGCGTCCGCCCTTTTGTTTCTCAATAGTCTAGCCCACAATGCGGACCGCATATTGTCCAAGCCATTCCCTGAGAATACAGATATTCTTCGGTATCCACCAGTGCACCTGGATTACGACTTTTTGTCCAGCATCGACGACCAGAAAAAGGCAGCAACTGCAGCGATTGATCTCCTGAATCGCTTGGTCAAAATAGTACCATCCACCCTGCTGTACCACCTTTCGCTGTCCTTCTTAGAAGCTCTCCATGTGCTTGAAAGCGTATCGCCAAATTATGCGCTAGTGCAGCGACTTGCTTTCAAATCGATGGCGCTGGTGCGGCGCTCAGACAGGCCTGATCTGGCTGCGAAACTAGGCATGAAAGCGCTCCAGCTATTTCCGGAAGCATCGTCGTGGCACCGGGTGGCATTACCATCCTCGTTGACTAAGGTCCTTAGTCGCGCCAATGCGGATCGAGTAATCCGAGATTTCACTGCGTATGTCTTCAAGGCACTAGAAGAGCAGAAGCAGCCAGCAATGCAGAACTCTGGTACTGCACAATCAGGAAAACTCGTCATAAAGATCACGACGGTAAAAATGCTGGCCACTATGCTGGCTGAAAGCAGATCTGGCGCGTCACCCCTCTCCGCCATTCAAGCCTTGAAGGTCCTCTTTCACGCCAGCAACCATATCGATGTCCGGGTAGCGGTCTGCACGGCTATGCTGGAAATTGTTGGAGAGTACGATGACTGTGAACAAGCGTACGAAACATTTACATCTCTCACACCCTACGCTGCAGTGCCCAGCGAGACCAGCGCCTGTGAGTCTTGGTTGCAATCGGAGAACGCCGAGCTTCCAAGGGTGGACTGGCAACGGCCCCTTCTCGATCTCTTTACGAATGAAGCCTACGACATGCTGCCTGCGAGATACCATGAACACTATACATGCAACGCGCTTCTGCCTCTCCTCGACGAATTGGCAAGACAACATAACCGATGGATGCGCCAATTCCTTGCTCCACTTGATCTCACGCCTGAAGAGCTGTCTGTGGCTGACTTCGGGCCTTTTGAGCCAGATATGATACAAAGAATAATGGAACGCTGGTATGAATACCTGCCTCGCGAATTTCTTCTCAAATATCGGGCTTGGATGATAAGCTATCTTGATTGCATGCGGCTCCGGAACGTCGACGATAAGATGACCGGAAAAGACGAGTCGTGGCGGACATCTGACTCATATTCCCACTGGAGCAGATGGTTCGGTGCTCATGCTAGGATGAAATCTTTCCATGTGCTAATGGGAAAGTTTGGAGCCGAGAAAGACACCAAGGTTCAAAATGGCATAACCCGCGAAGATCTCGCGGATGTAATTATGGCGTGTGCAGAGACCTTTCTTCGCAACCCCTTCAAGTTAGTGTCCTATAAGATCAACGTGTCCTTGGACCGGATCATGGATCTACTTTCGACGCTGGGGATTACCGACACCAAACGTCGAACTCACGTTTTGCCAATTGCAGAACGAATAGTAGCATTCGCGCAGGGGTTGCGAATCGTGGAGTGGAGCTACGACCCATATCGTAGCCCACCCGTCCTACCCTCAAGCTTCCAACTTCACACCATGCTTCTTCCGTTTCCTCAGTTCTACAAAACCGATCCTTTCCGTTACACCAGGTTTGTATCCAGCACGTTGGACTTGGTCCAGGAATGTGTCTGCTTTGACACATACCAGGCCGATAGCGCTGCTCTCCACGAGGCGATGAATCACGTCACAAAAGAGGATGCGCGCCAATGTGCACTGGAATTTGGCCAGCGGTATGACTCCAGCGCAACTACGCTTGTACAGTACGTGAGGGTGGAGTTAGCCCACATTCTGGCACTAAAATGCAGCATGCACAGGGACGAAAAGGATTTGAGGGGACGGGCAATGATGTTGCAGTGGAGGAACAGCCCAAACGAGTCCATCCGGTCTATCGGGTGGTCCATATACCCCCAAGCCATGTAACCTGACATTGAGCTATACCTTTTCCCGCATGTACTCTTAGTTTCACAATATGATAAATGACTTCGGCAATGGTCTCCGACGTTAGTAAATCAACAGGGTATAAATAGACTCAGCTAGCCAAAAGCACCCGTGCAAATGGCACGCGTACTGCCAGGATATCAATTCAAGCAGGCAAGCAGTGGGAAAAGTTGCGGCTTAATAAGAAAACTGGCCTCCAAAAGAACGTAGAGATGGCTGGTGTAGCAAAAAAAGCCCAGGCACAAGACTCGAACTTGCGACCTCACGAGAAATTGGTTTAATTTAGACGTGCACTCTGCCAATTGAGCTAGCCCGGGGGGTTGTTGTTTGAGAATGCGGGAACTGGCTCATGTAGCGGGCCACGATTTGCAAGCCCTAAGACTGTGGCATGAATACACATCGTTCCAAGTAAGATATAGCACAAGAAGAAGTAGCTATTATAGTTGCGTTTTTTTTTTTTTTTTTTTGCAATACTTTTGGAAAAAAAGAAATAATTGTGCCAGTCCATATGCACCACGGTCGTAGACCCCTCAACAAGGTGGGCGTTGCGTTGCAACCAACGAGACGAGTTTTACGCGGTCGATCAGGCTGTAAGGCTCAAAGAAACCTGTCATCAGGATTAAACAAGGGTGTGATTCTGCTGATTATAGTCCATTCATTGCTATCGATCCAGTTTATGCGTCAGACATTGACATTCATCTTTGCTGCCTAGACATAATTTGGCCCCAACGCACCGGCGCTGTATGAATCAAGGAACGGTCTCTGTCCATTCACGAGCACAGGTTCATTATTAGTTCATCCTTAGGGGTTTTTGGGTTGATGGAGTAAACTTGAATCCAGAACGCGAGTCAGCCCTTCTGGGGGACGCAAGAAAGGAGGGAGCTGGTAGACTGATAAGTACATCCGGCGTCGGACAGTCAGCGGGATACACATGCGTGTACCAATGGAGCAAGACGACGTCGTCTACTTCGAACCCCTACAGCGGCTCAGGGTGAGCCCAATTATGCAGTCGTATTTGGGGGTGGTGCATGCGCATGGCGAAGATGGAATTCGACGGAGAAGATTTAAGCAGTCGAGTCGGTGGTTTAATATTTCGATGTCGCCACTGAGTGCGACGTAGAACGAATCCCGGCTGATGAGCTTCCAAGCCTTCTTCAGATCTCCAAACAGGACTTCTGCCCATTTGTATCAGCGATACAGCAATGCGGGGACCGTTTGTATATTGCTGGGGTCTATTACATAGTGAATTGTACGACCATGAGATCTGAGTGATGAAGGGATGCGATATTGCTCCTATGGTCCCTTCTTGGCGTAGCCGCCACCTTGTCTTTGAAGTATTCGCAGTGGGCTATTACTTTGAATAAGCACTACGAATGTGTAGCAGTGCCATATACATTCTTCAAGTAGCGCAGGCAGGCATCAACTCACGGTCTTCCGTGGATTCAGTGGTCCCCTAGACATTCATACCCGATAGCCTATTCATAGGCTATACAGGCACGTGATGCAACCATTATCCCGAGGGATACTTTAAGTTGACCCCGGATGCGAGCGATCATGGGAAAGCTTCCATCCCATCATCTTCTTCATTTCCAGCCTGCATCATGAAAGCTATCCGTCTTCATCCTGCTTCGCCAAATTCCACACCCTATTCACCGGCTAACCCGGCTCCCTCCACCGCCCTTCGGCTGGACTGTGATGTCCCCATTCCAGAACCCTCTGCGCCCGGAGAGCTTCTCGTCCGCGTCAGAGCAACAACCGTCATTCGGGACATGCTCACTTGGCCGGAAGCCTACTCACATGAGTATGCCATCTTGGGCAACGATGTGGCCGGCATTGTGGTGAAGGTGTTCTCGTCCGCAAGCCAGTTCAAGCCCGGCGACGAAGTTTTCGGCATGACCAATGCCACCCGGGCAGCTACCTGGGCCGAATACACCATCGTCAAGAAGGATGAGGTAGCCCAGAAGCCGTCTACGTTGACATTCGCCGAGGCAGCGGCAATCCCCCTCAGCGCACAAACTGCCTACGAGGCCCTCTTTGAGCACGCGCAGATTCGCCGACCGACGATGGAAGATTTACTGTCCCAAGCTGCTACGAAAGAAGGGTACTCTGTGCTGATTACTGGTGCCGCCGGTGCAGTGGGCGTGTATCTTGTGCAGTTAGCCGCAGCCGCAGGGGTAAAAGTTGTCGCCGCTAGCAGCTCCAATGCTCGCAATCGCGAGTTTCTCCAAGCCCTCGGGGCCGACGAAGTCGTGGAGTATAGCATGCTGGACGATTGTCGCGGAAGGTTCGACGTCATCGTCGATACCGTGGGCGGGGAAGTCTTGGAAAAATGCTGGGAGTATGTCGCCGGCACAGGAGTGCTGATCTCAGTGGACTCGGCGAGCTTCAACTTCGTAGAGGAGCATGAGAAGCGTGGACTTCGAAAGGCCAGTGTACACGCGCTATTCTTCATTGTCCGGGGCAGTCCGGATGCGTTGAATTTTCTTGCAGAGGTGGCAAGTCATGGAGTCGTCCGGCCTCTCGTGGCAGGCATCTATCCACTTGTCCAAGCACCGGAAGCGTATGATGTAGCGAATGGAAGGGCATACGGGCGTGGGAAGATAGTCCTTGCCGTTTGAGATGATCCTGCCGGTTCTTCAATGTCGAATGTATCCCTTTCTTAGCTCGGTTAATCTTCACTCTCTGCGTCACGACCAATTAGTCGATTATAAGCCCGCACCTAGTCCCCATGGGAAATCATTTGCAGCTCCAGTGTTGTACCAGCCACATAGATCATCAATAGAGAGGACGGAAGCAGCCGGGCTTTTGTCGCGTTCCGATAAACTGTCGGTGGCTAGATTTGGATCCACCCCGTGCGCACCAAAGGCCAACGGGTCACTGGGTCCAAGCATAGCCTGATCATTGGGACCTTGTCCCAGTCCCAGGACACACCGAGCAATTGTCTGGATCTCGCCCACATTTCTCACTGTCCTCGGCCAGACTTCCCCAAGCACCTTGAGAGAGCCGAGCGCCATCCGGATCTGATCTCTTGCAATGGCGAGATCTTTCCCCTTGAGAAAAATACGGCAAGCGGAGAGCAGGGCCAGTATCCCCTCGCTGACCATACACGTGGTAAAAGGGGTGTGGTGGAATCTTGGGGCGGGTAAAGCCAGAAGACGGACCTGTGCCTCGACCGCCCGCAAGACCCGGAGGGTATGGACGTTTACTAGATCCGGCGTGGGGGTGTCCCGGGGAGGCTTCCGGGCACAGCTCGATACATTCTCGATAGCATTGAAATCGAGGGCCGACAATGGACGATGGAGGCCAACGGTGGATCTAGCTGGTGAGTGGCAGCATATGCGAGGAAGAAACGTGAAGCTTACACATGGATAAGCAGATGTGCTTGAAACAAGAGCTCATCAATGTCACCATTCGCCTTGATGACTTTTTTCTGCTCTGGCGGTAATAGTAGTCGCCATCCATCCAAGCCGCAATCGACCGCTTGGATCAGATGCATGGAGTCTTCCACGGTTGCCACTTTGGGGGTTATAGATATGGCGGACGCGGCGCACTGCACGGCACCAATGAGGTGTGCGAAAGAGGAGAAGTGGACATTATCGGAAATAAACTCGCGCTGATTGAATTCTTCAAGGGTTCTAGGTTGGGGAATGATCTTCAACCTGAAACGTAAGCCAACCCTGGTACTGGTGATTGGGGGAGAGAGTGTGTGCACTTACCCCCAACTCATAATCTGACTCGTCGCAGGGCAATTCAACGGTCGCATCAAGGTCCATGACCCTGAAATTCATCGTCCCCAAGGTGCCCGCGTAGTAGGCGTCTACAATGTACAGTGTCCACCAGGTCCGTCTCCAAGATTCCCTCAAGACCAGATCGACGGGTTCCTGGGACGCTGCGAATTCTCCCTTGAACATCTGCAAAGCAATGGCGATCTGAGCTGCCTGGTCCAATTGCGACAGCGCATCCACTTTGTAGTCATACCAGAACAAGGCTACGGAGTACAAGATTCGACACTGAACCTGAATCGGATCAGACGGCGATAAGTGGGAAAGGGCGGTTTCGATCGTGTCCTTGAGCGGGACCGACCATTCTCGCGCACTGTAGATATGTCCCATGAAACGCATAGCGGCAATCAACGGTGCAAGAGCATGCGCTTTGCGAGGTTCTTGACATAGTTCCACAAGATGATATCGTGGTGGGACAAACGGATGGCATACGTGGAAGTTCTTGTAGTAGGAGAGGATCAATAGGTCGTTTGCAATGTCCTCCGACCGGGAAAGGTGCTCTTCGGTGCTGCAGCCATCCAGATCGGCATTGGGCACGACGGACATGGGTGGAAGATCTACCGAGACAGATGAGATCGTACCCTGCACAAATGTAGATGTGCTGGCACCTTTTTGATGGCTGCCATGGCTCATGGGATAATCTGTCCTTTGTGGGTGTCGAGAGACGAGACCGCGCCGCGAAGGGGCGTAGCTGCACGGCTGGCCAACCTCACCACAGCGGGTGCAGCTCGGTCGCTTCCCATCACATTTGGCGTGCCGAGCGCGACAGGGCAAGCAAGCCAGCGATGAGCGTTTAGCCCGACGATTGTGCATAATTATAGTCGCCCCCTGGGAGACGCTGGCAGTATTGTCAAACGAGTTGATCGGTTGTTTTAGCCATTCGATATTTCCTGTCAGCGGAAGAGCAGGAAACACGCTAAGCTGTTTGTGGCAGTCGTATTCCGCGGAACATTACTATTCCGTGTCATTCTGGGGAAATTGACGCATTTATGCAATGTGCATGGGATCAACTTTTCTTGGGCTGGAGGGAGATGATACCCATGAAAAAAAGGTGTCTCATTTCAACATTTACAACCATCTCTCCAAATGGCAACCATTGATCATCTTGACGATGACTACACTAGTAAATCCGCGATATTGCCCTCTCTCGCCTCGGAATATATATATATACATTTATCTATATACATAAAATACACGATATCAATCTGACCACCCAAGCCCACAACGATGTGTGAGGAGAATAGTAATATGATATAGGACTAATATGTGGTAGATTAACAGACCTACAGCGGTGAATAGAAGTCTGTTGAGTTCAGATGTCATTCAACTGAGGGTACTTAAACGATGAGTCTTGCTTCGACACTACATCACCCCCCCTGAATACCTATGCATTTGAAACTACAACCCCTTGCTTCAAATACCATTCCTGCACCACTTTATCCAATTCTTTTCGCAGCACCTCTCTCTTTTCCGGGGGTGCAAATGACTCCACCAGCATTTTCACAACACTATCACCGTCCACCAGATCAATTCCCCGGTCACGACAATATTGCAACAACTCTTCCGCAGTGAGGTAGCTGTGACGGGAAGTATGACTAGTTCGATCCCACGAAACATCGCGCAATGGCTTTCCTCGACTCAGCAACTGAATCGCATCAAGGACTATCTGCACTCCAAGCGCATACTCCTTGTCCACACCTGTCAGTATGGCAGCGGAGTGCCCGAGTGGAGAGGTCCGTCTATCAATTACATCCCCCAGTTCACTGTCCTCACGGAGGTATCGGAGGGTATACCCGAATTGGGCTCCAACTTTCTTGTTGCCCCAGGGTGCCGAGAGGACGCCGCCATCCAAATATAGCATATGATGCGACGACGAGGAAAAGTAATCAATGACACCCTGGTTGAGCACGTCGCCGCATGGCAGCGATATGCCTACGTCGATGAAGTGCTTTTGCAACATCTTGGCAACGGAGGTACCCTTCGAGTCTGGGATTTCTTGCACAAAAACCCCATATGTCGACTGCATCTGCCCAACCGTCATGTGCCGTGTGCCCTTAGAACCGTGTTCCTCGAGCCTGGGACTGAGGTGTTTGCGGAAAAGCTCGCGTTCGAAGAATGCAAGCTTGCGCAAATCGAAAGGCCCACTATCAGGCGCCGCCATGGGGGGTGTCTCCGTGCTGGATGTCAGGAAGAGGAAAGGCATGTGGCCCTCGGCCAGAAGCCGGGGAACCAGGTCACTGGCCATCAGGTGCGAGGCCACGTCTAAGCCGAGAAAGATCGCGATGTGTGAAGGTTTGGCAGGGGGCTCCCCGACCAGTGCGTCGGCAATGCGAGCCGCGTGGGCGGCCGTTCGATCGATGGCGCTGACATAGAAATGCGTGCCGCGTGTCAGCGAGCCCATCGTGTATAGGCCGGGGGTTGATGCACAGAGGGTGTCAAAGTCGACGTCAACCCCACCCATCGGGTGCGGCGTGAATAATCCCTTTTGGACAGCGGATTGGACGAGCGGCGATGGAATTCGATCAAGATGGCTCTCTTGCCCAGTCGCTTCGATCACGTAGGATGCTTCTATGGGGCCAGCGGTAGTCTGAGCAATGAAGGTGCCTTCATTGTCATCCCAGTAGACAGCCTCTCCTGCAACCACACTAAGTTGGGAGCTTTCCATCAGACTGAGGATTTTCTGGGCGTTCTGCACGGGCATCCCGTGGCGGTATCGCATCCAGGGAGTGAAGAATTTGGCCATGAAGAGTTGTTGGCTTTCCAGCGGTAAACAGTGCCAGTAACGCTCGATAACTGGGGCAGTGTGGCGAAGGACAGTTTGCCAATGAACATTCCCTTCTTGTGCCGCGCACAGGTCTACCCGTAGTTCGGCCTTTGGTGAGGCATGCTTCTGTATCCAGGTCCAATCACCGTTGTTCACACCGTCAATCTCATCCATAAGGGTGGTTGTGAGTTTGACAAGACCTTCCGCTGGGTTCGATTCAAGCTCGCGGGCCAAGGTATGAAGGGTGTAACGGCGCGGGAAAGGTTCAGGCTCGCCTTGGACTTTGGCAAGGCGGCCACTGCGCGACATGAAGGTCATCGGGCCCGTGTGGCCGTTCTTAGAGAGATACAGCGCAGCGTCAACAGCGGAGAGCCTTGATCCGATGATGAGGACAGGGGCATCAGTAGGGATGGACTGTAGTTGAGAAGTCGGCCACGGGCTGGGAAAGAAGCCCGGTTGATCAAGTAGGTGCGTGTTGAGGGTAGAGGTGAAATTTCCCAGCGCCAATACAACAGATTGGGCAGAAAGATGGCTCCCACTTGTCAGTGTCAAAGCGAAGGTCCCATCATCATGACGGTCAATGTCCGATACATCGTCTTGGATGAGTGAGATCTCCAAGCCCATCTGTTGGGCTTGCGAGAGTATCTCAGACCACATCGCCTCCAGGTACTCCCCATATTGACTTCGGGAGGGAAAGGGACCATTGGATAGCTCGCTTCTCCATCTGGTAAAATGCTTGGGGTCGTTATAATATAGACCCATTGTGTCCGTGTGCATATTCAGGATGGTACCGGTACAAGCGGCAGAGTATGCGAGCCCTGGGCCAGGAGGCGAGGCTTTCTCGACGACGGTGATGGGAGGAAGTTTCTTGCCATTCTTAGCATGTTCAATCAAGCGAAGAAGGACTGCTATGCCACTGGCGCCAGCGCCTACTATGACAATGTCTTCGGTAGAGGAAGTGGCAACCGAGGATAACGATGAGCCCATTGTGAAATGTCAGGTACGAGTGATTCTTCAATTACTGAGAAAGATGACTATACAAATTCCCTCGTGAAGAAAGTATTTATCTCTCCCAGGTCTGAGAACAGGATGTTGGATAGCCAATCAATCTACTAGAACGGGTTGTTCCCGAACAGGACAGACGATGAGGGCTATTCTTAGCTTAAGCTGCACGCCCATTCCACAATCACCTTCAAGCTCCCTCAAAACTCCATCTCACGGTATAATCACATTATACAGCTGACCACAAGAGCCAAGATCCCTTCGTCCGAGCACAATGTGGCTGTCAGGTCGTGGGCATCTGCAACATGCATGGGGCTCGAAGGCCACCCCCTCATCCTTGAGCTCCGCTGCCGGTCTATATTGACAAGCGGTAAGCTGATGAAGAATCAGAAATGAATTCGCAATGAATGCGTCACCAATGCATGCCGATTTTCCTCTCATGATGAGAACATGGAATGCCGAGCACGAGTAACCCTTTTGAAAGAAGGAAACCCTGCCGAGCGGGATGATGCTGGCGGCAATAACAACTCGTATTACAAAATCAAATCCCATAATCACCATGACGCCAGACGCAATTCTGCTCAGCGACTGGTGGACTTTCCTACACGACACCCGGGTACGCTCTCTGCCGGACTACAATGTAACCCTCTATTGTTTGACTCGGGATGCGCGCCGGGCAGGATGTATGTGGTTGAATCCATTGTGTGTGAGCATACAGCACTTACACGCAACAAAAATGGGCCCTATAGAGGTAACAAAGGAATGGTAATCCAGGGCGTTAGACAGGCTCACGTGGCTGGCCTCGGTACTACGCATCGGCACAGATAGAAGAGGCTAATCTAGGACCCTATTTTGTGAAAGGAAGACGGCAAGGTGCTAAGCCAGGAACATGCTATGATGCAGTTGTCAGAAGATGCATTCGAAACATTTATACGCCCAAGCGGCCACAGGAAATCTATTGCGGGTGGTCGCTATACGGCAGAACTGGTCCTGTCCCATGCTTGCACAGAGTATAGCCATACTGTCATCCGGCCACCTAATATCGGTTTCAAAATCAATACATGAAATTGAGTTGGATTCATCAACTGCGATCCTTCCGACATCGAGTATGAGGCCCCGCATAATCAAGACTGAGAACCAGTATTGGCACAGCCCTACCTGAGGGCCCAGTCTAGGCTTCTTCAATCCTGCAGAAGTGCTTTCTTGGCAAGCTGGGAAAACAGCATTGTCTATTAGCCTGAAGTTCGGGTCTAGAACAGGTGCAGATCGTCGGTCCTCCTCAAACTCCGAACCAACAAGATCGGGCCCGTGAGTGCTGCACAGAGCTGGTCAGTTTCCACCCTAGTGCTTGGCCAGCCTGCCTTGCATAAAATGCTGCTTTGCTCGGATTAGACCTTCACATCCGGATGTAGCCGCGGTCGGGGTGAGCGAGAGGGCGAGCTAAGCCAATACAAGAAGCACGGAGAAGTGACCTAGTGCAGTGGGTGTTGACAAAAATAGATAGACTGTAGCGTAACTAAGCATGAACGGACAAATGCGGGATATTGCCCGTCTGTCCAAAAAATGGTTTCCCATCTTCAATTCATCAACGCCAAGAAACGCACAGTCGTTAAATTTAGATTTTCGTGGACACAGAAAAAAACCCTGTGTATACGTCGTGCCAATCTTCAGCGCTTTTGGAGAGAGCAACAAACGGGTGAGCATTTAGACAATATTTTGCGTTTTAACACATCACTCGTTAGGTAAATGAGCAACATCCCTACATCCCTTCGCCCGTTATGGGCTGCTTACGCGAAATCCCAATGAGACCTGTGTCAGCGGAGGGCTTTTTTTCGATTGAGGTATTAGCAATATTTGGTTAGTTACGTGCTAGCGTCTACGGATTGTTGCCTAGTCAGGCACGCCATAAACTCCTGTGCATGCGAGTAGCATCAAATTGATTCGTGTGGCAAGGGCCATTGATGATTGGCCTTTCTCGTCTTCATCTGGCCTTCCCCTCATGCACGGGAGAAAATGCAGCTACACAGATGAGGGGAAAAGATCGGGGAGATGCAGTCGGGGTGCAGATCTCACAGGGCAACAACGTCCTCCGCATGGGTCAGTCACGCATCTCATTTAAAGCCCGGGATGACCATGATGCCAAGGAGAAGTCGCGACTTGGCGGCCGGGGTGAAATCCTTTGGGGAATCCTTCAGGAAGCCTGGACGACTAGAGGGAGCGGAATTTGGGAGGAAATGAATCGGATGACGGGCTTCAACAGAACTGAGCACGACTTCGTAGGTTATGTTGTCGTTTAGTTGATTCTCTAGTCTACTACGGTGTTTCTTCGGCCAGAACCTGTAGATACACGCTTTTGCTCCTATTCTTTGTCTCACTTTCTCTCTCTCTCACTCCCTCTCTCGGCCTGCCAAGCCTTCTCATAAACAAGCTCACCGGGTTCCCTTTGTTCTCAAACCTAACCAATCACACCTTGACTAGAATACGCCAGCCCACCTTGGCTGTTCGCGCACCGAGAAGTACCAAGGACCCCAGCAAGATGGCCACGCCCGCCCACATCTGCGCTCCAATGTAACCATGTGCCTTGGCAACGAGGGCACCGCCCAATGGTGGCCCTGTCAGACACGCGAAACTGACTATAGTGAAGCCCATGCCGATCCGTGTTCCAGCCCTACTCAGGTCCGTAATCAAGCTTGACAGCGTCGGCGGCCACATGCCTTGTAGTCCATTGGCGCAAAAACCGTACAACACTGCAAAGATGTACAGCCCCGCAGAATAGTGGACCGCCGCCCAACAGAGCATCAACACACCGGCGGCCACCGCCAAGGGGATGATAGTATTGAGCGGGCCCAGGTGAAAGGACGCTAAATATGCGGGGACCAACCGGCCCACGACGGCCGCGCCGTTCAAGACAATGATCAGGTTCGTCGATTCGGAGTAGCTGAAGCCAATCACTGTACGTCCAAAGGCTCCCAAGTAGTACACGGCGAAATACATGCCCCAAAAATTGAGCCAAATGCCCACAATAAAGAGCGTGTACACGGGATCACGAAAGGCAGCCAGCTCCACCAGGGGCCCGGACTTGCGCGGCGGGAGTCGTGTCTGTAGGAGACCTATGGCTGGTAAGCTGGTGGCGAGCATGACGAATCCCACCACACGCATCGTCCAGCCAAACCCCAGCGTCGGGAGTAAGCCCTTCACCAATCCCGGAAATACCATTCCCCCTGTCCCGCTGCCGACTAGGGCAAATGCCACGGCAAAGACGCGTCGTTGATCAAAGTACGTGGCCACGAGGCCCATGGTCGGGCAGAACTGTAAGCCACTTCCCAGTCCCGTGCAGAGTCCTTGGGCGAGGGTGAGCTGCCAGTAGCTTGTCGCGAGCGAGGTCATGAAGACCCCCAGCACCTGCAGGAGAACGCCGGCGCAGAAGACGGGACGGAATAGGCCAGCGTCGAGGGCGCGTCCAGAAAAGGTGCCGACAAAGAAGATGAGAAAGATTTGAATGGACCCCACCCACGAGATGGCGGACTCAGACACCCCAAGCTCGTTCTGGTAGTAGGATTGGAAGATGCCGAAGCTGGCTAGGTAGCCCCAGGTGTTGAAGCATACCAGGTGGCCCATGACAGACTGGGTCCATGCCTTCAGCCCCCCATCGGGTGGTGGTTTGACTTGGGAAGGGGAAAGAGGGATCTGAGCTTGGGATACATCATCGCTACTGGTTTTCGTCATGATGGAATTCCCGAGCAGTACAGCAGGTGTGCACGATTTCAAGATGCAGAGCAGTGTAAAATAATGAGACGTCTTTTAGACGCTATTTCAACTTGCCAGTGGGGTCCTGTGTATGCCGTTATTGGACTGAAGCGCTACATTGTCCTAAATGGACCAGCTCCTACCTCTTTCCGCCCTTCGCGCTACAGGATAATAACCGAGGGGGTGTAGGGAGTGATAGGCGGGCCCCGGCCGTTACCCCGAAATATCCTTGAACGCATACGCAGTACTAGAATGCATAAGCAATCTCGGCCGAGTAGGTGTGATGTTTGGGGGGCTTGGGTGTTGCTATGGTCGTCATGACTCTGGGTCTGAATTCTTTCAACTTCCTACCGGTACCTCGGGGTTCTGTGGTCATCTCGGAATGGCACATATTCTTGGAGATGACGAATCTCACACCATTAAGAGAGGCCTATGTCTGATCGTAGCTGACGGGTTCTGCTACTTTGGTTATCCCAAAACGATAAAATGTATGTAGTCATCCAATGATTGCGCCATGCCGGGAAGGCCGTCCTGCGCCGATCTTGTACGTATTTCGTATGCAAGCGCCAGCCTGCACGCATCTCGAAATTTCCTTCAGCGACCTCAATTGAGGCCAATAGGCTAATACAAGGACCAAGCGGCATGCGATCTGCCGAGGATCTGGTGGGTTCCTCTTTTGCCCCACAAGCATTTTGCTACTAGCCTATTCCAATTCTTGGCCTGAGACCTCATCAAGCAGTACCGAATACCTAATATGTGTAGGTCGGCATCAATCGCAGGCTTCTAGCAAGAGCATGTACGGCCTAAACATTCCAAAAATGGTGACTTATGGATTGGAGTACGAAGTTCAATCAAGTGATAGTCAGGGCTGGTTCTTGACCCTGTTAGCATTTCCGCAAGTGCTGTGGCTGTTGCAGGTTCGGCCAAATTAACATATGGGCCCCATACTCAATATCATTTGACCTTCTTTCTTTCTGACACCAGCCAGTTTACCCACAAGAGCAATAGAAGCATATGGTGCTTGGAAATTCAAATCCAATAACAGTCCCGCAAGTGACATTGACCATCTGTTATCGGTCTTTTTTTTTCCTTCACCAGCTGCCGGCGCCAACCCTATCTGACTGGTTTTCTCATATGATTTCTTCTTCCATGTAGTAGATTATGAGACGATATATCTGTCTCGCTGACACTATCACCGAAGCTGTGCGAGTACTTTGCTCTCATGGTAAAGTCATCCGTCGATTGGCTGCTAATATGATTACTGGGCCAGGAAAACTGCAATTAAATTCGCAACGAACAGACCGAGCGGACTGCACCAGTACATAGGGTTCGTACATATTGAAAACTAATTTCCGTTGCGAAGGCGATATTTTGCCATATTATATACCGTGGCTCCAGCAGATACTTAGATGAAGTTGATCGGAGGCGCTACCGCCACACCAGCCAGGCTTCCTCCACACCGGCCTTTGCTCATGCCACACCCTCCGCCTACCATATAAGGTAAGGCCCCAACTATTTGAGGTGACGCTGCGTCCATTCAAGGGGCTTGGTCTCTACAACAAGCAGAAGCCTACCGCCTGCTACTTTTACGGGTTTTGTTCTTGAAGCACGGCTTCAGCACCTTAGGCAATAACCTTCCGGATTAAGAAGGCAGCAATGGATATTAAGGAGACAATACCCTAAAGGAAACGGACCTTGACTTCGAAGATAGGCGGAGGGGGTGGAAGAAGCCTGGCTGGTGTGGCAGTAGCGCCTCCCATGTTGCTGAGAGAAGAAATTTCACGGAAGCAAGGAAGTAGACTTTTAGGGACAGAAAAGCCCCGGAAACTATCGCAGCATGAATTCTGTCATCTTTATATCGTTTCTCACTACTTTATCCTTCTCCGCAGCAGTCCAAAAATGCAATTCATGAAGCTGGGCAATAGGCTCGAATGACTAATAGTTTCAGGCCAAACTGTAAATCGAGCCAAGTTCTTGAAGTAATTGTAGTACGAGCCACTTAACCAGTATTTGTTCGAAGCACTGTTGATTTCTTATTTACACATATTCTTCGGAAATAACAGAATCGTCACTTTATGTTGGACAGTAATCTCTGGGTCGCTAGTCTGACTAGACGCGATATATCGTTTTTGGTCTAGCAATTAGTGCGCCGACGCTTTATTTCACATTAAAGAAACATCTTCACCCCTATCCCATCCACTGACCGAAATATAATTGCAAAATCTTATCACTGCGATGATTTAGGCCTATATGGACACTACATCACTGCAAGATCATATTCCCGCGTCAATTACCGTAGCCTGTGATTGAGTGAAACCATTCTTACCCAGACTTTGACGAGCAAACTTCGAATACATCACTGATAAAGGCTCAAAACATTCACGTACGGAGGATACATATGCTAAGGTTACATCTCAATCATATCTATCGCCAAATGCGCAGTGTGTCAAATTCACAGCCCAGTCTGCAGAATTGAACATGTAAGGAGTTTTCCACACTCAGTTATCTAATTTAGGGCACCCCAACTCACGTCTGTACATTGCGTCGACTTCGGAGATGAACGCTCGGTTTCGTGAGACTGGTTCAGAGCTCAGTGGGTTTCGGTGAGACGCATTCATTGCCATATGTCAGCTGGTACGAGCTTGAATATCAATGTCCATCGTACGTCCAGTATATATAGCCTTGGAACATCAAGAACAAGAAAACCCTTACTACCGGTGCTTACTGCCATAGGCGTCAGGAAAGAATGCCACGCATGACATGGCTCCACTGTCGTCCATCGATCATTCACGATAGGATGTCTGTCATGGACTACCGATGTCATTAGCCCCTCGAGTCGTTCAAGTCACGGTGGATGCGAATAGTATAACAGCTGTTCGGCCAGCATTGTAAGTAAATTGTTGTGTCGGATATGAGCATTAAGCCAGGTCTATGATCCCCCAGAAGCCAACTATCTCGTCATTATCGGACCATGTAGCCTTTAATTGCGCGCAGAAGAACTCCCCGGTGAGAAACTGCACCACAATGGGTTACTGCAGCTCGGGCATACTATTATTATTAAATCACTTGACTTTGGATTGGGCTGATCTTTACGAATATCCTGCTCTTATTGAAGACAATAATACTCGTAAAAGCAACAAAGCAATCTGTTAGGTACATTAATCTAGGTATTAGCGCCATGGAGGCCAACTACATATAAATGTTCTTAGTTGTATAGATCAGGAGGTATGCCTCTTTCCGGGCGAAGCTCATGTTGTGTATTTTCGCAGTTGATGATTCTATTATATGTAAGTGTTACTGCTAGGTTCTCACTCCGTGGTTGGCTTATGAATTTGGCCTATCGCTGTACTACTGACTACAAACCCGTTATATATCCCTTGCCTAATATACGAGACAAGTTTAATATACTGTACTATGTGTTCAAACGTAAGCTGAGGCAGAATCACTTTGCATCACCAAGAAGTTTTATCGGCAGTGATTCGCTTACTCGCATCCGACCTGCTCACCACATCCTCGGCAAGGCTAGTCCGGTACTAGTAACTAATTCGTGTGCGGATATATGAGTAAGCAGCATTATTATCGTCTCCCCAGGTTCCGTGGAAAATCGGTGTCATTCATATAATTTCAGGCAGTAGATTGCCTTGTCCACAACCAAATCGCTCCCTGGTTGGTCTCAAGGTGGGGCTTACCCGCACATCCAACATGCTGGCCTCGATATATACACAGTCTGTTCCGTAATTCCGACCGCGCTTGATTTCCATTTACTTTACAATGACTGGCCAAATCATCCTATCCCACATGCGAAGGCTGAGCCGTGTATGGCCTCGAAACTTCTCGATCGCAACTGTCCCTCCAGGATTACACCCACTATTGACCGCGAAATCACACAAATATTCTAGCCAAACATCTGTCTCTCAACCATGACAACATCGACCACCACCCCCCGCACTATCGCTCTACTGGGCGCAACGGGCAACCAAGAGAGCGGAGTCGTCCGTGCCTTATTACAGAAAAGCCCGCATCACCCAGCCTCGTTCACCGTTCGTGCTGTGACACGGGATCCCAGCTCCCCCCAAGCAGAACGACTTCGCGCCGTCTATCCAGAAGAAGAAGTCTCTGGCCGACTACAGCTCGTGCCTGGCAACGTCTATGACGTCACAAGCCTAGAGCGTGCCTTCGACGGGGTCTGGGGCGTGTTTGCAGTCAAAAATAATCGTCTCCTCGGGCAAATGATTGAAACCGAAGAGGACCTCGAGCATGAGCTGGTAGCGGGAAGGAATATCGTGGCTGCCGCCAAAGTATCTGGGGTGCGTCATTTTGTGATCAGCAGTCTACCCAATCTGGCGGACGCGAGCAAGGGACAATTTCAAAAGGTATTCCATTTCGACCATAAATATCAAATTGAGCAACTCGCAAAGAGCGAATTGACTGCCGTGACGGCTTTGCGGCCTGGTGAGTAGCTCATTCCGAGAGGATCCGATGTGCCTGGACTTAGGCTTACTTGATGTGCCGCGCGAAGGGCTGTTTTACACGAATGTACAATGGGTGCAATACTGCCGGCGAAACGGTAGGTGTATCCATGTTCACAGGTAACATTGCGGCAATACTAATCATCGTCGTTGTGTAGAAAACGGGATCGTCCGTTTTTGTCCGCCGGTTCCCGGGAACAAAACCGCAGATTGGACCGATCCAAGATATGATATCGGCATATATGCAGCTGGCACGTTGGACCCAATACCACAATCTACCCTCGTTATATCTTACGGTAGTAGCTAACGGCCGCCGAAAAAATAAAAGTGTTCTCTCTTGGGCCTGAAAAGACGGCCTCTAAAGTATATCCAGTGGTCAGCTCTAAGATGCGCTTTGCTGATCTTCCGGCCATTTTTTCGACCGTGCGATATCAACCGGCAATTTTCGATCCTATCAGTCCAGATGATTGGGGTGCCACAGTCGCAAGGACGGTTGGGAAGGGGTATGAAGAGGACATCAGGCAGATGATGGAATGGATTGCTGTTGCGCCAGATGAGAAAATTTGCTATGGGACCATGACCCCCCAGGAGGATTGCTCCGGGGCGGATCTTGGAGTGCGGGCTAGTACATTCGAGGAGTGGTTGAGGAGGTCAGGATGGCAAGGACTATGAAGTTCTGTCCTTCAACTGGATCTTTGGCGCAATGAAGGTCATGATCAGCCGATATCTAGTTATGGATTCGCTCTGTAGTATAGATGACTATGCTTCCTTGAGTCCGGACTTGTCCACTCTAGGAGTGTTTTAGCAAACCGGAGTAATTATAGCTCCCGAGTGAGCAATATATTTACAGACAACGGACCACATGAATCGTAGCATTGGCACCGGGTTGGATTCCGAAAAAAGGATAATAGCCCGATATGACGGCGCATGTGGAACGGCGAGGAAGGAGATCATCGCTCTATTTTCCCGGGTTGGATGGGGTGTCCGACTGTCTGCCGGCGTTGACCGGGACAACATCAGGGGTGGGTTGTGAACTGTGGCACTGGGACACATACATTCCCCACAGGAGCTTTCTAGGTACATCTTGGCACATATGGGGCTTCTGTAGAGTACGGATTTCGTGTAGTGGTCTCCTGCTGCTCAAAGTTTCCTCCAGTCTTTCAATTAGAAATATCATCTTGCAAGTGTTTGTACCCGACGGCTCATGTGTGTATGCTCAGAGATAACGATATGAAGAGATTGGTAACCGGACGAATGCCAAAATCAAGCGCCCGAAAGTCTGATCAGTTAACAAAGCAAAGGAGTTCTTGTTGGATCGCATGAGCAATGCTCAAACAACTAAACGCCGCTAGGTTTGATATGGCGCTGAGCCGGTCAGTTCGGTAAGGGTCCCTGCTTGGCGCCCCGCTGACCGTCACGGCATATACTACAGAACCATCCTATCTTTACTACGATCGGAGCATACTGATTATGTGTTGTTGATCGAACCTTTTTCGAGTAATTTTCCGGAGGAACTAGTCGAGGGGGAACAGAAACTTCTGCATCAATAATATACGTCGAGCTCAATGCGGAATGGGGTTCCTTTGGTTGAAAACGTCCGGACTGGACACCTTCCGTGCCGAGTGGGGGCTTCGATGAGACACGGGGTTTCGGGGACTCGACACGAGGGATCCGGTGTTTAGCACGGAGCATTGTCCGCATCGTGCTGCAACCCCCGATGCTATTTTGGTTGACACTCTGTGACTGGCCGGAAATTACAGTGACATAAAATCATTCCTGGGAGTTGATATGTTTAGTGAAGAACACATGCCCACTTGCTACAATCCTGTTGGTGGATCTAACCCGAACACCCTATCAAAGATTTGTGCGGGAAATGACAGGATATACGGCCAGCGGATGATGTTTTCAATATAGCAGGTCAAGGCAAACAGTCCCCCAAATCCGCGGATGTGAATTGTATCCCCTCGGCAATCTAGTAGCATAAATACATTGTAAGGACCTCTGCCCACAGCTACTCACATAGTCAACCTCAAGAAATCAATTTTCTGTTCCTACACCGCGCTTTTAATATGAGGCCCGACCTTCCGTCCACCATTATGGCCTTGATGGCCTTCGCGCACCATTCCAAGGCAGCGCAGTCTTCCATTGTCTCTGGGAGTGCCCCCGGCTTCGCGGCGGGCGTGACGGGAGGAGGCGACGCGACTCCTGTCTATCCAACAACGATCGACGAGCTGAAAGAGTACCTCACCTCTTCTTCGCCCCAAAACATTGTGATCGAGGGCACCTTCGACTTTGTGGGTTCTGAGGGCACCAAAACCTATGAGGCCTGTAACATTTATGATTGCACTCCCGATAACGGCGGACAGGCCATTCTTAATACACTTGGTGGATGTGGTGACACCTCAACCTATGACGTGACCATCGACGTTGCAGGGTACGAGGGCATCAATGTCGCCTCAGACAAAACTCTGGTCGGCAAAGGAACAGGTGCTGTGCTGAATGGTAAGGGCCTGCGGTTCGTGGGCGTCTCCAACATCATCATTCAGAACATCGAGATCACCAACCTCAACCCGAAATATGTCTGGGGAGGCGATGCCCTTACATTCTCCGACACCAACCAGATTTGGATCGACCATGTCACCACTTCATCCCTAGGTCGCCAGCACTACAGCTTTGGACAAGAGAGCGACAATGCCATTACAATCTCCAACAGCTTTATCAACGGGAAGACCGACTACTCTGCTACCTGTGATGGACACACGTACTGGGGCCTCGAGTTGGTCGGCTCCAGTGACCTCATCACTTTTTACAGTGAGTCTAAAATGGCTGGATCTGCAACCCAGTAATCGAACCTGGAGATGAACTAATGGCAAATTCAGAGAACTACGTCTACTACACTTCCGGCCGCAGTCCCGCCCTCAGTGGTAATACACTCTTCCACGCAGTCAACAATGTCTGGGCCGATAACAGCGGACACGCCATTGAAGGCACCGACAACGGAATGGGACTCTTTGAAGGCAATTGGTTCAACAATGTGCCCACGATTGTACAGAGCGGCTTTGTCGGCCAGCTGTTCAGCTCCGAGTCAGCCGATCTAAGCCAATGCGAGACGTACTTGGGAAGAGACTGCGTCACCAATGCTTACACCAGCTCTGGTTCTTTCGACTACGATGACGATGGATTCTTTGTCGACTTTGAAAATTTGACCATTGCTTCGGCTGCATCCGCATCTTCGATTGAGAGTAGCGTCCCTTCGAACGCTGGTAATACTCTGAGCAGCACGTAAGCTGCGCCACAGTGTGTAACATGGGTGAAGAATACGGCACCCGTTGGGTTCAAAGGATACTCTCATTTGCTAAGAAACAGCATAGCTTAATTAGGTACAGTAGCTATGCGAATTATAATAAAGGGAAGTTGTCCTTAGTGCGGGTATTCTCCAAAGACGTAGTTTGCACTGAGAAGTGAGAATAGTGCACCTCGTGTGATGTGTGTTGGAGAAGTGATCAGCAGCTCCCACAAAGACCTATCCGCTCTTTTAAGTAGCGTACAGAGAGTAGCAATACTACAATGCTACGTTTACTCAGTAACCAACAACCGCCACGAGGAAGGAGGGCTCATACCAAGACTGTGAGTACACTGGCAAAAGTTTGGTAGGTGAATGTTTCCGAGCATACAAAGAATACCGACTACGCGTTCCCACGCCCAATGAAACAGAGCTTAGCTGTGGGCTTCGTATGCCCGCTCGGAGCTTCCTTTAAGTAGTGTCTGCGCTCTAATACAAGAAATGAAACACCACAATAGATGAACTAGAAACGGGAAGGGAGAAGAACAGCAGAGACAAGTATTATCCGTCAATGAGTCCCTTCTATTACACGCGCCCAACATCAATGTTGCGGAACCATGGATGAGACAATATCTCGGCAGGAGATGGCCTCTTTGCAGGATCATACTGTAAAATCCATCGAATGAGTCCCTTCACTTCGTCGGCTTCCTTCGAATCAATATCTGGCTCCGTCGAGTCGAACTGCTCCTCCATGGATATCTGATCCACCAAAAGTGGTTCCTCTTCCGGACCGACTCCTCCGATTTGACAATTAAACAGCTTCCTCTCAGGCGTAAAGTAAAGCGAGGAGGTCTTCCAATGAATGAATAAATCATCAGGAAGGGCGCCGAGCCGTTCTGTAAGGGAGAGGAGATGATCATCATCTTCATATTCGGATCCTGGGACGCAGAAGAGCGGCTCTCCAGTGATAAGCTCAAAAATAAGGCAGCCGAAACTCCAAATATCAAGCGTGTTATTAACGGCTCCAGTCAGGATAAGCTCGGGAGCCCGAAGGCCAAGGGGAGTGACGGGTTTTTCTGGGGGCTTTGAAAAGAAATATGCTGTTCATGATAGGCAAGAATGAGTACAAGTAATAATCGTAAGGAGGATAGAATGAATATTGGAATCAAAGTGGGACTGACCGCCGCCCATATCGGACAATTTGACTTTAAAGCCTTCAGCGTAATGTGTGAAGGGCGACAGAGGCTGCGCAACGCAAAGATACCGAGGCGCCCATTTATCTTGCCTGCCGTCTAGCCTCTGTACCGGGGGCGAGATCGACTCAACTTCTACATTTTCCTCTTGCCGGAGCTCTTCTTCCGGTGTTGAGTTGAGATATTTCACAGTGAAGAGGATATTTCCTGGCTGAAAATCTCCATGCGCAATACCATTCCGATGCAAGAATGCTAGAGCTTCCAATGATTGCTTCAGGATACTTTTCGCCATCCATGGCGGATAGCGTACCTTCATTCCAAACATTCGAGGTTTAAACTGGGGTAGCTCCTCGACCATAGAGTTCACACTCGGACCCATAGGCTCAAATACAAGGCATTTGTGAACGCCATTGGGACCGTGGTGCTCAAATTCGTCTAGCAATCGCGTGACATGGCTGGCAGCTTCTGTCGGTGCCGTTTCGGTGATATGCCGTAGGATGTGTAGCTCAGCTGTCGAGTCAGGCAGTTGGGCCACAAGGATCTTTAGAGCGACGTATCCACCATTTCTGAGAGGGGGTGAGTACCGGCCATTTGAAACGCCGCAGGGAAAGAACGCAACTGAAGAACTTACTCGATGTCACAGGCGAGCCACACCGTTGAGTATGATCCCTCGCCGAGCTTCCGGATGACCTTGTACTGGCCATTTTTGAAGACATCCCCGAGAATGACGGGGTGATAACCACCTGGGTGGTAATCCTCGACCCACTCACAGGGTAGTGTGATGGTCTCGAATCTCCACTCATCATCTGTTACCGCCCTTGATGGGGGTGTGGGAGGAGGGGAGATACTCATGTTCGCGACGGAAAATCGGTGCACTGAAACTGCCGAGCGTAATTTACTTATAAGCCAGGGTTGCAATGGTGTTTTCCAAACCACCGATAGGAAATGAATAGTTGGACCTAAGCAGCGTTGGGCAGCGCCTCGGGCGTACATTTATAGCCGTTTGGTTTGGTCGAGCCCTGTTGTGCAACGCGCCTTATGGGCGCGTAGTACTTGTTTCAATTGCCGCCCGTCGTCCGATATTGACGAATTAACGACGGCTTACTAATACCATACAGGAGCGCATCTGTCACCTGTAAGGTAATGTAACTGACATTCGCACGGTCCATACAAAAACCCAAGCCATGCTCCTATCGATACTAAGTGTAAGCACTGTCTTTGTCGGAGCGACTAATGGATGTTGTCTTCGTTATCCAGACACCCGTCGCTTCCAGTCGAGAAACAAGAAGACCTTTTTTGGGAGGCACTATCGCCTTATTTGAAGTCATCTTGTTTTCACTCTGTTTTCACGCACGAGGCGCTCCTAAACATGACATTTTAAATGCCTGGTAATTCTGTGATCTCGGAAAGGTCGTCCACAGTAAATAACATTAGACGGAAGCAGCTTGAATTGAGGTACGCAAATCTTAACTACATTTCTTCAACGCATACAGGAGGAAAGAACAGCGACTAAACGCATGCAGTATGACAATGATGACATATCCGTGGACAAAATGATTGCTCAAGCAGGAGAATACCGGTTGATCGCTTCTTGATATGGCGAATCGTGGATTGCTTGATGTCTCGACGAAAGTCTGGCTCTCCCAGAGTATCAAAACCTTCCACGACTGACCACTTCTTTCTGCCCCGGTCCACTCAGACAATATGGCGTCGGCCAACACGGGCACCGGCAGCATTGTAGTAATCGACGGTACAGTGCGTTCGTTTGTCGCTTCGACTGGTGTGCCAACCGTTGCTATAACTCGAATTAGTAGCTTTCTCGCTATGATGGATGTACCTGACCTACACAATCGTAGCTGTTACAGCCATGGGAGGTGCTTGGGTGGTGACCAAGTTTATGATCCTCGCCCTCTCCCGAAGATTCTTCCCATACATGTTTGAAGGAACGAAGAAAACATTGCTGGCATCCATGATGCAAAGGGAATAATAGCAGGTGTTTGAAACAGAGTTGAGTAGAGCACAAGGACAGTCTGTAGATGGATGTAGGTGATAGGATAATGGAATAAATATGTGCAGAGGCTGTACAGTGGGCAGGTCATTGATTCCGCCCAATTTATATCAACACCTCCTGCCATATCCTCACCAGGTTGTCACCATTTAGTCGCCTCGATGATCCATACACCACCCTACATGGTGTAGGCGATGGGGAGGCATAGGCGCTGTATTCCTGGCGTTTGTTCAAGCTCTGTAGGATTGGATGAGACAAGCACTTTACTGAACCGGCTTGTTGCTTTTAAAGGCACGATAACAACCATCATGATAGTCGTAGGGGTAGGGCGTCTACTGTAACATTGTGGCTATCATGGTGGTTGTTATTGCCCTTGTGAAGGCGTCCGTGATCAATCCCGTCCAAGATATAGGTTTCCGTGCGCTACCAATTCTATAAACTAGGTCACAGCCTCGTGCCGGGCGCAGACAGAAATCGCATACGTGCAAGCGCGTGTTATATGGGAAAAAAAAAAAAAAAAAAAGGAAACAACCCCGATAGTGCACAGGTATTAGTCCTGTCGTAGTTTGGACTAAAGAGCAGCCATACCAAGTAGTAAGTAACAATGATGAGGGTCAGTAGCACAGCAAGGCTTAGAGAAACAATCGGCAGAGCATACTTAGAGTAGTAATAATCCAGGCACAAAGTAGACATGATTGTTCACAGTCGATGATTGGCTCACAGCATTGGACCTTTTCTGTACTATCACTGCAACCCCGCACGCCAAGAGATAACTAGTTGGTTTAAAACTTTATGGAAGTCGTGCGCAGGAAATAACATGGAATATGAAAGTATTATTGGTCCATAAAGCAACATAACAAAATCCATCGTGTAGCACTAACGCGTCAGGTCCAACAGGCTAGTAATATTTAAATTTAGTATTGTAATACGGACTGTAGAGCAATCCCCTCCACCTTCGGTATAAGACACACCTGATAGACTGAGTTGGGTCAGAATATCACATACCTAACCAAGAATGAGTGGTCAATTATAAAATAGTTCCTTGCTAGCATAAGGAAGTTTTTGGTGGAAGGATTCTACGAATGATGACAAACTTGGAGTATTAATGTTTTGAAAGAGGAGGGATGCTAATGCTGCCCAAAACATAATCAATGGAAATCCCATGAATTTTGCGCCAATGATTGAGATTACAGGCGCATAACGATTGGACAGTATACTGACCATAGCGTTAATCACCTCTAGCAGCCTTTGAGTTATTTTTAGGCACCGTACATAGCTGGGTAACTCTACGTAAGTTCTGAACTTAATCAGATGATAGTCTTTGCGCCAATGCATTCCTGTCGGCGCTTAATACTGATAACAATTTCCTTCATTAACTTTGGGAGTTCCAGGCCAGATTCTGAAAATTCAAAAGTGTTTCTTATTCCAAACTGCGGCCCCATGTACTCCGTGCTGGAATGACGTCTAAAGGGGGATGGCCGAGACCATAGTCTAGTCGGAGCATATGGTGACTGGCATAACAGCAGGCCCTATTGCTAGACGCCTGGTTTAATAATATCCGTAGTCCCATCGAGCTCAAGGCTATTGTAGTGGGAGCTCGCAATAGGAGGACATCATACACGTCTGGGTAATAACGTATGCACCCCCATCTTCAGTCTTACTTCATTACATGGATGAATATACTAATTAAGTGGATTTATCATATAAAAAGACAGCGGAAACTTTCAATCCCGGTTTGTATAGTTTTTGACATGTCACTCCTATGAAGGAGATGTACGAAGAATAAATAATGACTAACCATGATATACCCTACGATAATGGTTACTTTATGGCGAAGTATTCAAGTGGCCTTGCCACACGGTACGAAGGATATAACTGAGAATAATAAGCCTTTGCCCTATCCCATTCACCGTAAGCTGTTTGGACCGGCGAGAAATATCTTTTAATCCCTCTTTAACTCAATGTTCATGTCCATCTCTCACTATATTGTTTTTCAAGACGTCGATCGCCGCTGCTGGACTCTTTTCTCGATTATGTCCAGCCCTACCATTTTCTTCATTATGCGATCGAAGAACCCCAATGGGAGAATGTTACCCAGCCTCACCAACGTCGAGAACTTGCCTCGCCAGATCCAATACGCAGGGCTGCGTTTGCTGAGTTCTTGCACAACCTGGCGCGCCCATGTCTCAGGATCAGTATCACCAGAATCATCTGAGTTATCCATGGCTTGTTCAACGATCTCCTTGGCAATATTGAAGAGCGAATTTGGCGGCAACTCGGGACGTGGCGCATTGACGTGAAAATTGGATCGGACAGCACCCGTTAGCAAGTTGATGACTCTAATATTCCACGGTTGGAGCTCTAATCGTAGATTCTCCGTGAAGCTAGCTGCTGCTGCCTTGGAAGCATTGTATACACCTGCAAAGGGGCCTGTAGCTGCAATGGTTCCAGAAAGAGAGCCATGGTTAATGAGCAGGGCGCCGCCTTCACGAGTTGAGAGCATGAGAAGTGGAAGGAATGCCCGCGTCACACTGATAATAGACCAGACATTAAGCTCGAAAAGATCACGCCCCTTTTGGATGTCGATATCCATGACTGGCATTGAGTATCCAGCGCCCGCATTATTGACCAGCGCATCAAGTGATCCGCCGGTCAGCTCGCTAACCTCAGCAACGCACTTGCGGATGGAGTCGTCAGACAGGGTGTCGAGATGGAGTATTTCAAGGCCCGACTTCTTGGCCTCTTTGAGCTTGGACAGATTTCGAGCTGTGGCAATGACGCGCCACCCGGCAGCGTGAAATTGGAGGGCAAGGTGCGAGCCAAGACCGCCATCAGAGCAGCCGGTAATGAGGACAGTATGCTTTTTGGACATCGTTCTGTAGGGGAGGGGAAGTACCGGGAAATTTCAACAAGTTGAAGGCAATGTTGGAAGAACCGAACTAAGAGCAGCATATATAGCGCCATTTAGCTTCCTAGTACAGGCCAACGGTAGTCGGTACTTAGAAGAAGACAAAGAAGTGATGTTAAACTGGAGATTACGAGTAGCGCGACATTTAAAACAATAAAGGACTACAACTTGAACATCGTGAGCAAATGAGCTAACTTACTTGGATTGACAAAAGCTTCGGGTCAATGTGGGTGGCGGAAAGAATCAGACCGCCTTGCTATTGTTCTTTCGCCCTCAATATGGGTGACAAGCCACAGTTCTCCTACCCCCTGTATTGGCTTGACATGGCCCCTTTCTTCGCCGCTAACGTGCTTGTAGCAGGGTTTTGTTCTAGTTTTATCCATGGTAATCCTCACTCAGCCGGATAAGTTAAAATTCGAAAATGTCAGTTCGAGCAGCTATTAGAGATGTTTGGTCAGCTGTAAGACTGGATCAAACTAATATGAAAGGGTTCAATAATTAACTCCTTGGACTGGCGAGGGGCCAAATTGTATAGTTAGTAGATGTTGTTATGAATCAGGTTCCTATATCCCAGGCGTTACATGGTATCTTAGGAACCCGGGACTACTGATGTTAAATGCGTGAGGTTCACACTAGCCATATATTAGCACTAAAGTCACGTGAAGACGGTATACCTCGCAATACCTCGGGTGTATCAACGTGACGAAAACCATGAAACAATGTCTTGTCGGCACAGGCAAGTCAACAATGGCTCATGCCATGGCTCGTAGCCTTATCGCCCAGGATCATGTCCGGGCCTGATCCACGATTATTGCTGCCCAAATCTTGCGCAAGACTGCCGGGCAGTGGCTGAGCATATTTCAAACGCCATCGAAGCCAACCCCGATATCGCCTCAATCTCAGGAAACCTATCCTGTAAGGATCGTTGCCATTATTTGCTGCCCTCTGCTCTGCGCTAGCAGGGATCATTTGCTGGCCATGTGGTTATGGTAGTCGTGTATTGTTAGCTTTTGAGATGGCACCCCAATATATTCAATGGTCATATCAATCAATCTCCTTTTCCACTTGGTTGACTTTTCACATCAGCGTCCTTAACAGCTGCTGCCGTGGCTGGAATTGTAGTTGGAAGCTTGGCGAGTCTTTCTTGAGCTGGTCATTGAAGCCTGCCCCGTAAGCTTGGAAGATGATTAGTTAATTGTGTTTTTAGACATCTTACAAGAGGCTACAATTACCGACGACAAGTAGTATTGATGCCATTGGATGAACTTTTGTCGCTAGTCTCCACAGGCGGCTCGCCATGTGACCGCCTTCGCTCCCGACATACGCAGCCAGGAATTTCGAAATCTCACGGACGCGCCCGCACTAGTCTTGCGGGCAATACGTAACAGCCATCGGACAAATGCACACTGCCTCCCCACGAAGCCGATCGTTTGAGCAGCCGCCGCCGCCGCCCCACCCCGACCACCTTGGAACCCCTTCGCCCACCACAGAGCAGCAGTTGGTATTTGAACACGGCGCTTACAGCCTGACCAGGTGATGCTGCATTGAAGTGATAAAAGCCCATCTAGCCCCCAGGAATATCCCATTCATCTACAATCCTAAAATCCTTACATAGACTGCCTCTGTGTGGACTTTTGATCTCGCCTTGTTCCTCTAAACTAGTTCACCTTTTGTCTTGGTGCTTTGCACAGTCAGTCAAGCTATACCACTGCACACAGATAACCATGGCGGAACCAATCGGACTCGCCTCTGGATTACTTGCCTTGGCAACTTTCGCATTTCAGGGCACTGTCTCGCTTTATGAGACGGTGAACAGCTTCCGTTCGCACCCAAAGCGTGTGCGCGAGCTTCTCGACGAGCTGGAAGCTTTGAGGGCTGTGTTGGCGCCCCTTATTGAGCTAGTTGAATCGAACTCTGATGCAGACCTCTCAGCCTTAGATCTGCCGTTACTTCGTTGTGGCAATGCCTGCAAGGAGTTTCAGCAGGAGTTGGTGCGGTGCGCGTCAAGATCGAGCAACAATCGGACTAGCTTCCGTGACTGGGCAAGAATCACATACTTGGGTGATAATATCGATGATTTCCGTCACTTGTTGGCAGGGTATAAGGCCACAATTAATATTGCCCTAACTGATGCAACTCTGTAAGCCATCCCCACCCCAACGGCATGGGTATCTTATCAAACTTCTTCTCCGTGGTCATGTTTTCTGATTCCGCACCAGACGCAAATCGGCGGTCGCTATTGAGAGCATTGAGAACTATGAGGCTCTGATTCAGGATGCAAAAGAGGACCTGGGAGCCCGACTCGAGAGTATAGATCAAAAGCTGGAGCAGCTGGCTGAAAAGGACGGAACTCTATCCGATCCGGATGCAGCCGAACTGTACTCCCTGAAGGAGGAGCGCCGGAGTACAGAGAAATGCCTTCAGATTTGCGCCCAATTATCAAATCATATCGACCAGATCCAGCTGCTATCCGACGACACGAGCCCAGCTGGAGGATCTGAGATGGCTGATTCGTCGCCCGAGACTGTCACGAACAAAGGCTTACAGGAATGTAAAAGGAGCCTTATTGCAACAACTGCCAAGCTGGAAAAGCATATGCAGGAGGTGATGGATCAAATTCTTGCCAAATCTAAAAGTAGAATCTCCTCTGACGAAGATACCCAAGTTTTATCGCGGCTACGCGATGAGTGGGAAGCTGCTCGGCAGTGTCTTGATATATGCTCTCATGCTGATAGCAATTTCAAGGAGTCCGTCAGTGTTATCGAAAATTATGGTACTGGAGACGCTCTTCAGTTCATGGTCTCCGCGAATGGGAAGGTTCTCCATGGGAAAAACCGAGGAATGGGCTGGAGGAGCAGACAAGTAGGAGGCTATATGAGCAACGGAACAATACAGCAGCTATCGCGAGATCTCACTGTTGCGCATCCTATTTCTCTGAGAGCCGATAATAAGCCTTCCTCGAAGACCAGCCTTATGCCAGATGCAAGTGATGTGGCGGATTATCAAACAATGCCTGAGTTCAGTGAACGGTATGGGCGGGGCTTTACCCTAAGCCCAACTCTCAAGCCAGAAACGAACACAACGTTCCGCAGCATGAGCAGGGAGTGAATAAAATCAGAGGCGGCAAAAATATAAGCTTTACCAGAAAGCAGTATTTCATATTGTCAGTGAACACTCCCTAGATTCTGATTCCTTTCTTCACAGAATTACGAATTTTGGTCTAGAGAATACAATATTTCCATTTATATATGATAGTCATCATGATACTTATATATTAGGCTGCAAGTGTCAACGTTGTCTCTATGTACTAGCGGCATTGTATCCTTGGGTCACTGTAACTATGAGAAATTGGCTTATCAATACCTGTAGGATCGTGTTGGCGACCTCACTTGGTAAATGCCAATTAATAACTAGTAGGTTTTTTTTTGGCATAACATAAATTCTGGACGGCCCATATGGTTGGGCAGTCCATTCTGCAATGAATAATATACAAAAGTTCCTCCTACCTTAGACCCGATATCTCAGCCATTAGAAGCCTAGGAGACTTCAATCATGCTTGGTATATATATTTCAAGAAAATGAAAAACTATCGGAATAATTGCAATATTTATTATAGCCACATCGACAAGTTGGTTGATAAACAACCTACATTATCTTATATCTATATTATGTGTCAAACGGCGCTCTACACCAGAGGGGTAATGACATTGCAGTACAATGCTATTAGGGTGCGGGAATCCCAAATACTTTAATCCACTCTGATTAATCAGATTTCTGGCAAAGGGGGGTGCAATGCTATTATATTCCTAATTACAATACTATTATATTTTGGGAAGATTTTCTGTTAAAATTCTAATATGTTTGAACTGTGCCATTTATTTAGTATCCTTTTAATTTTCAGCAGTATTACTATACTGGTAGAGTAGATAATTATATTTAAATTTAGTAAGTAAATAAAGAAAAATATTTTTGTTGGGGTGATCTCCGGGAGTCCTATACCAGAGGGGTAATGACATTGCAGTGTAATGCTATTAGGGTGCAGGAACTCCAAATACTTTAATCTACTCTGATTAGTCAGATTTCTGGACAAGAGGGGTGCAATACTATTATATTCCTGACTGTAATACTATTATATTTTAGAAAGATTTTCTGTTAAAATTCTAATATGTTTGAACTGTGCCATTTATTTAGTATTCTTTTAATTTTCAACAGTATTACTATACTGGTAGAGTAGATAACCACATTTAAATCTAGTAAGTTAGTGAAGAAATATTTTTTATTAAGGTAATATTTTTCTATTACCTGTCTGTATAAATTATTAGTAAGCTTAGTCAAGATATATATATATATATATAATATATAACTACCCTCTGCAGCCCAATTCTCTCTTTTAATCTTATTTTTATCTTATAGTAATCCCACCTATCCCATATTTTTTTTTTTCTACTTGATTTAGCCACTCGAAATACATGATAAAGTCTAGTAATGCTAAAACTAAATCTCTTTTTTATATATATTATCCCCTGTGTTTTCTTATATGCCGTGACTGTTAATATAGAGTATAGTTAAATGAGATTTATAGATATCTTAATACTAAATATACAAAGTAATTTATATCCAGTAAACAGCAGTCAATAACATCCCTTATCTAGAAATAGGATAATATTATATTTATTAGTACTGAA